TATCCCATAGCATCTCAAGATTTTCACATCGTCACACCATTTAGTGAATCAATTGCAGCGGAGAAAACTGGTAAACCACAGCGACTGAAATCCTTGCCATGCCTCCGTGATCCTACGCAGAGTGAAAAGTTGGTCGGGGCAGGAGTAACCCGTCTAGAAGCCTACATTATTTTGTCATATTCTCCCATCAATTACCTGTCTTAATTTTTTCACAATGAACAAGGGAAAAAGTTTACCGGACGATGAAGTAGCGTGATACGACGGTAAGTTTTACACTCGGTGACTCGAATCCCTTCGAAGATAGGGGTAACTACTCCACATTTCCATTATCTAGAAAACGTTCGTAGATCCACCATATGCTTTTCTACCATCGGCACTCCTTCATATTTAATTAAAGTCGGAGGCATTTTATCCACCTTGCAGACCTTTCTTACCTTAGGTGTAGTAAGGCCTTTTAGATTTCTAGTTTTGTGATGCATTTTTACTAACTTCTAGTGTTGGCGGAAAATTCGCGGTGGGAAATGATGAAACTGGAGGGCAACAATTGAAGAGCTACTGGAAATGCTCAGTTCATCTTGTGAAGCGTTCCGTCTGACCTGCCAGTGAGGCAACCTTAGTTTTTTGGATAAGAACAGACCGAGTTCTCTGCTTACCGAACAACTGTCGCACCTATTTAAACAATGTTCGCCTGTTCTTCTTTCTAACTGCCTTATCGATCTTTTTGATTTTCTCCTCCTGCCAAAGTTGCCTGTCACGCCTGTACCTCTGGTTTACTGTATGAACGAAATGGCGATTAGCTGCTTTCAAGTGTGCAGTAGTATTTTGCAAGGACTGATTTGTTTGGCCCTTTTCTTCTTGACCAGAGTTATATTTTTTCACTGCGGCTATTAGGTTTCTTTGAAGAAGTTTTTGTAAGCTTTATCGCCGTTGCCACTTCCTGAGAGGGTACTAAGGATTGCATTTAAATAGCGATTTACCTCATTTTGTTTTGTTGAATACAATTTCGTCATATTTTAGCCTGTCAGTTTCACACTGACAGTCAGTCGGCGTCGGTCCGACACTGCTAATTTTAGACGAAGTTTCTCTACGATCATATGGTGATCAGGCACAATTCAGGCGCCATGTCTGACCCGAGTCTTGAGTTTCGAGCTGCGTCATTTGCGGTTGAAGAGGGTGTGGTCCAGCTGAGTGTTTAGGTTTCCGTCGAGGAACATCCAGGTGGATTGGCGAATATGCTTGTAAGGAAAAGGGGCCCCATCTGACGATTAAACTCTTTATTTCTCAAACACTTAACCGGTCCTTCCGTTGTAATTCGCGATGTCAATGTGATGACGGCCGAGTACGCCCTGGTCATGTGCCGTACTCAGCGCCTGCCTTCATGTTGAGCGTACCTGCTACAGTTATGACGTTGTGACATCGCAAAGCGTTTAGTTGCTGTCACTGGAAACATTTTTCTGGGTTTGGGCGACTGTGACATTCAGCGCCACCTCTTTTACTTTTACGCGACTGATTAGGATTCTGTCTGACACCTGTTTCATCAGAATTATTGCGTGGCTTACTCCAAAGGACAAAGGAATACTCATACCGGCACGACGTAATCTCTTGTGACCTGACTACCAAAACGACCACTTATCGTGCAGGTCATGAGTGCTTTCCACTGAAAGGTGAGCTTCCGTGACTGTCAGTACATCGATTTGGAAACAGTGCGCCGTACGGCAGATGTCTTCTAACTTACCTCGCAAGACAAGGAGCGAAGGTTTCAAAATGCAACAGAAACTTTTTTAAGGTTGTCAAATTGACTGCTAAGATCATGAGTTTCTTGGTTCATCGTTGTTTTTAGGTTGCGAGGGGGAGCTGCTTTCTGTCACAGCAATATATTCACTCTCGATGGATAAAAAATCAACTTAAGAACTGAATGTATGTATGCAAGGACATGACAGTGGTAGAGAAAATTCTTACTCATTGTCATTTTTTTTCTATCCTGTTCCTATCTTTTAAAACCATAATGTCATATCAAATTTACGCTTATTTGCTCCAAAGGCATCCTCACCATCTCAGTCTTTCAGTCATATGGCAAAAATACAAAATTTGTTGTCATAAACTAAAGTGAATTTAAATGTATCTGTAGCGTTTCTAATTAGGTCTTTATCAGTATGTCTACAGGTTAGTCTCTGTACCTTTGCAGTTACTGCTTTAGTTTTGTGACCATGAAGTATGACGAGGAGATACGTCAAAAATTCGTCCAATTTTAGGAACCTCTTGTAAAAGTCAAGCAGAACCAGGAAGATGCAGATGAAGAAGGCAAAGGTATGACCCCAAACGCTGGAAATGGAGCCGATTTGCCGAATTACCAATGGACTCAGACATTAGGAGAAGTTGAGGTTAGTTTCAGAAATTATTCTTGAATATCGTTTAGCATAAACCGTGAGCATTTCTTTTTCTTCCCCTGTGTTGCACTCAAATTTCGATCCAACGTTCAAAACATTGTTGATTCGTATTCAAGCTGTATATTCAAAAGACAATTAGGAATGATCCAAATCTGTTAAATAAAGTATCATCCCGTAAACGATACATTTGTTTTCATATAGAGTAGCTTAATAATCATCAGTAATCGGGTATCATCACCAAAAATCAGTTGAGTCTACTCTGAAGCCATGCCCTGGGCGAAAATGTTCCTTAGGGATAAACCGTCGTACCTGAGAGCTGTTTGCGCATATGGTTTATCATTTCAAGCAATACGTGGCGGGGGTGTTACTCATTAAGGGATAGGTTCAGTTAGATGTAGCGCGTGCTAATAGATTTTACTCTCTGAAAACAGCACAAAATATTTTCAGGTTTGCGAAACGTGGTGGTATGGTCTGTTTGGGTAATTCCAAATATCAGATGCCCTACACTGCAGGAAATAAATGCTCATAATGTGATTTTGATTATGATTTCGAATCAAATCTTGCTCTCTTTCTCACCTGTCAGTACGTCGACCAATGCGATGGGTTGTTACTACAACTGTCCAAGATGAGGAATTGTCAGAGTAATTTTTGGAGAGGATTTTACCCTGTAGTGTTATAAATATTGGGAGAAGGAAACTAATCCCTGCTCATCAGTTTTATTTTGCGTGTAAAAATTTTGCACTGAGGTTTGTTGATATTTTTTACATATATCGTTTGCAGCTTAGGGTTCCGTTTAATGTCAACTTCGCGATCAAGCCTAAAGACTTAATCGTTGAAATTAAACAGAAGGTAAAATTTATTTTCGACCTAAACATGAGGATAACCAAACTTCTTTCAGCATCTGAAAGTTGGCTTGAAAGGGCATCCGCCTGTTATCGACGACGAACTGTATAAGAAGATCAAAGTTGAGGAATCAATGTGGACCGTGGAAGACCGCAAAGTGGCGGTGATCACATTTGATAAGGTATTTGTTGTTGTTAAT